TCATTATTTCTTTATCAACATTATTGTGCAATATTTTTGTAAATTGTGATTGTATTTAAAAAAAGCTTCCTGAGGCAAGTTGATTTATTTCAGTCGACGTTATCGAACGTCGTCTAAAAGAAATGTTTACCTAATTTTTAAGCATTTACTTAGTCTGTCTTATTCCCTGATTAATAAAGTAAAAAAATTATTTTTTCGCTTTATTTACACGCGACGTATCTACTACATTAATCCCTTCTTTATCTTTATTGTACGTTCATAATAGAATTAATTAGACTGATAAAGTGAACAATAATTAAATATTTACAGATCTGTAACATGTTTATTTAAGTCTGTATACTTAACCTGTTACGAAACAGGATCTTTTTTATTTCTTATAATTTTAGAGTTACATCTCGTACATCTTGAAATTCTTAAATTAAAATTATTGTCTGTAATGACTCGATGTTAAGTCCATACGATGTATGGCTGTATTGAATGGTATATACACGCGTTACGCAATCTCAAGGAATTGCATAGTAAATGTCTTCTATGTGTGTAAATCTGTGATTGCATGATGATAACTGGACCACGTTCTTGAATCAACATGATGACAATAAAGATGACAGTAATATGACGTGATCGCGTTGATAATATTGATATCTATCAAGCAATACATGTTTACCTTTAATTAGGTATATAAATTTTTAAATTGCGATTCTTATCATACACACACACGCACAAATAAACATTGTTTATGGAGTATTTACAAAGGAATTTTATTATTTTATAATCTTATAAACTTTGTTGCTTTATAAATGGTTATTACATCTCGTTTAACTGCACGACATTTTTATTTATACGAACATGCATCATTCAAATTTTAATTAATATGTATAAATAAATTAATATGTATAAATAAATCTTTTTAATATCTATTTATCAATTTTTTTATTATACATAGAATTGCACATTGTAAAATATTTATATGACTATTTTAATTTATACCATTTTAAATAGCGTAAGGTGTTTTCACGTTGTAAAATATAACCATGATGCTATGATTGTACTTTGTTGCAACTGATAAACCTTTACAGTAGTGACACAGGTGTGAACGCGGTCATGGTAAACCATTAATTGGAGCGTAAAGCAACCATGAGATTGTAACCGACAGAAGCATCATTATTATTTTATGATCGCTATTGTTCGGCCTCTTTCATCAGTCACAATTAGACATGCATCGTAATCATAGACTTCCTACTTTCTATAGAAAAACAATTATATGTATATTCATATTGTAATGTGCATTTAACTCGATTTATTCAAATTTTTTTAATAGTTCTTGACTATATAATCGAATTTTAAATTTTAATTACATATAACATAAAATCAAAGTACAGTAGAAATAATAAAAATAAAAATGTTTTTTATACATATTATATGCTAATTTCAAATAAAAACTATATGTAGAATGTCACGCAAATTAAATTTGTAATGTTTAAAATTAAAGATTATGTTATAATCGTTCAATGATATTCGATCACGAATTTTTATGAGATAAACGCGGTTTAATTAGACCGATTGTTAATATATCATTAAAAGGACAAACAGTAAAAATCTATTTTTTAATATTTATTTTTATATGCTTTGTACAGAGGGAGAAAAAAGCTGATTGCATTCGGCCTGATGGTCGTCGTACTTGTGGCCGTTTTCGTGGTATTAATTGTAATCTTCACGGTCAATTCAGATGTTAAGTGCGGTTCAAAGTTCGTCAGTTCTTCTAAACTGGGTCGGTATGCGAAGGTAATACTTATTGATCGATGAGTATAAAAAAAAAAAGATTGATTTAATTAAACTGTAATAAAAATACCAACATTTGACTTACTCATATACTGAAACATATTCTCAAGAAGTTATTCATTTAATTAAAATATATAGTGTTGAAAGGAGAAAGGAGATAATTATTTCCAAATACGGAATACTTCTCGTGCTACCAGTACGTACTAACAGCTAGGAAATTAATTAATAAAAAATTTAATTCAATATTAAATAACAGAAAATAATATTATGTGCGTATTCGTTTTGAGAATGTATTTTTATTAAAATTATTATTTTTAAATAACTGCTTTATTTCACTTGTTATTTCGCAAATATTCACTTTGTTTTACATATAAAAAGAAAAAATACAATATGTGATATAGTACAGCACATTCCAAAAAGAAAAGTTTTTTCTCACAATTATTGAAATATTTGTGTACAGGGCGCTGTGGCAACGAACGGTCAGGAATGTTCAAAAATCGGTGCGGATATCTTATCTAAAGACGGTTCAAAGGTACTTATTGCAATTTTATCTCTTAATCTTCTTATATTGATATGAAGAGTGCTTCTTGATTCGATAAGATTTGCTTATTGTGATGTAACACCTGATGTATTTGGCGAACAAACTATACAGTGAGCCATATATTTTTACATTTGATTTAAATTTAAAGCATGGGACTGGGCGGCGGATTTTTTATGACGATATGGGACGCAAAGAGTAAAACGGCAGATTTCCTGGACGCGAGGGAGACCGCCCCAATGAATGCAACAGAGGACATGTTCAATAGCAATGCTCATTTATCCATGTATGGTAGGATTTTTTCGCAAAACTTACTGACAGATACTTACACATTTACGTCAAAATTGCTTAGAAGTTGTATTTAGTCATTACCGGCTGCAACGTAACGTTTAATTATAAAAGCTCTACTTTGCTTGTGTGGGTGCGTAATAATAATAATCACCTAAGTAAAAATCTATCTGTGTTGTCGAACAGGTGGACTCGCAATTGCTGTCCCGGGTGAGCTTATGGGCTATTCGGAAGCGCATAAGAAATACGGGAGGATACCGTGGTCTGACTTATTCGAGCCCACAATCAAATTGTGCGAAACTGGATCGATCGTCAATGATTATCTTGCCGCATATCTGGTCGAGAAGGAGCCTATGATAAAGAACGAGAGCAGTTTGGCTGAAATACTCATAAATCCTGTCACTAATAGAACGTGGATCGTAAGTAGCATCTTGATTGTCGAAGTCTCATTTATTATTTTTTAATCTCTCGCTTTGTTTGGTGAACATCTCGTGGATCAGCAGAACTGATGAATTAAATAGAGGAATATTTACAGGCAGGAGATCGAATAAAGAGGCCGAAATTGGCAAAGACCTTGAAGCTTATAGCAGAAGAGGGTCCCTCCGTGTTTTATAATGGCAGTATCACTGACAAATTAATCGACGAGATAACTAAGTTTAAAGGAATAATCACGAAACGAGATTTTCAAACGTATAGGTACGTACTATGTTTTTTTATTTTTGTATTGAAATACTACTATTATGAATATTTGTGAAGTGCAAAACTTGTTATTTCGCAAAATTTAGATTAAAGGCTACTATAAACTTATCTTTACTACGCAGTTATTTAAAATTTTACGAGAGAGAGAGAGAACGTAAAAAAAAAAGAAACGTGGGTCACAGTAGATAAAAACGACGCTGATTTACTGTAACGATAATATTAATGGAAAACTTATTGAAAAAACTTAACGAAAAATTTATTTTTTATATTACATTAAAGAAATTAATCAGAATATCATGACTGAAAAGTTTTGCTAATGTTATATCTCTTTTTAGTATTTTAATATTAACAAAATAATTAGGTATGAATGAATATAGATTGTTTAATATTATATAATATTAAACATCATTATTTAGAATCAATTAATTTATGTAAGAGCTGATAACAATGTAAGAGCAGATTAGATTTCGCAATGACTTAACAAAACTACTTATATTAAAGTAAACATTAAGTTGTGCTTTGACCTTGATTGTTTTATTATAAGCATTTTTTTAAATAAATTGATTGCGTCACTTAGTGACAATAAATGATATAAATATGAGATATATAAATGTGATAAATATTATCGAACTAGGGCAATATTACGAGAAAACTACTATTGAGAAGACTATTAAATTCATAATATCAATTAAATTATATCCAATTTGAATTATTTTTAATTATTTCTACAGGTCGCCACTATTTCTATTCAATTTCGTTAATTTCGTTAATTTGATTAAAATAATAAAGATAAATAATTTAACCCCAAAAAATGTATTAAATTTGAAAATGTGCTTAAATTTAGTTTATTATTTATTCAGTGCATACATTAATATGTACGCTATTTACTTTGAAATTAACCACAGAAATAGATTAATTTACATTTTGACACACTGAAAAAAAATTGATTAAATTTTAATACATATTTCTTTGAATAGTACTAAGTAAAAATTTACTTAGAAAAAACATTTACTTAGAGTAAATAAATATTTATTCAAGTAAATAAATATTTACTAAACAAGTATAATGATTAAATGAAATGGTTTTTTGTATCAAATAAATATAAATTTAATAAATATTTACTTCGAACTGTTCAAACAAATATTTTATTAAAATTTAGTATTTTTTTCACTGCACACATTGAAGTTAAAAATGGCAAAATGTTATTTAACTCAAAAAATTGGGTTACTATTGTTTTTTTAATATCTAACATTGTAGATGTGAGAGTCGTAGCACATTGATAATGCAAGACTACTTTGCAGAGCCATATGGAGAAAGCCGGTCGCGTTGAAAATGGGGAACCTGACAATTTACAGTGCTCCGCCGCCAGGTTCAGGCGCAATTCTATCGTTTATAATGAACGTCCTTCGTCGCTTGCTACCGGTCCGCGATGAGAACATAATGTGGCAACGTATAGTGGAGACCTTCAAATGGGCTTACGCAAGAAGAACAGAGCTGGGGGATCCTGAATTTGTCGACGGCATAGGTAAGACCATGGATACATAATGAGCAACATTTTAACATAATTTCTTGATAACGTATCTTGAAAATTACGTATGATATGTAGTAATGTTATATATAAAGTCTATTTAAAAAGAAACATATAGTTAGATGACGCTTTGAAAAGTTTCTATATGTAAATAATAAAAGAGATAACAATCTGTTTAATTCATTTTACAAGGTCTTTAAGTAAATGATAATTATACATCTAACATTGATAGAAATATTAAGATAGAAAATGTTACGTTTATTTAAAATTTTTTATACATGTACTATATATATATATATATATATATACACTTTAAATATGTATATTGTTACATATTATTCTCTTTAATGTCGCGGTGTATGTAGTATGTTTTTTTTTTTTTTGAGAATCGTGTCATCAAATGTTTCTAATAATCCGTGTATCATTGCATAACGCATTTAATTTAACCTGCTGTTAAAAGATCAGTAATTTCTGTTCCAGCATGATTTTCTCTAATACATTCTTCGAATTTCCTCTCCGCCAATTACGAAGCATTTAATACGATGCAATTATTTTTTTATAGACGAGTTGCTCACCAATTTAACGTCCAACGATTACGCGGAAATGATAAAAAGCAGGATTAAGGATGATCGCACGAGTCAAGATCCAACAGATTACGGCGCTATCACCGCAACACTCGAGGATGCAGGAACCGCACATGTTTCCGTCCTCGCCCCCGACGGTTCTGCCGTCTCCGTTACATCGACTATCAATCAGGTGTAAGTAAATTTGCAAGGGACAAAGTATTCTAATGGAATAATTACATCGCGAGACAATTTATATAAAATCAACTTGTACAAAATTAACTCAGCTTAGATTGTAAGATTTCTTTTTCACTTGAAGAGAGAGAGAGAGAGAGAGAGAGAGAGAGAGAGAGAGAGAGAGAGAGAGAGAGAATTAAATCATATTATAAATATTCGAATAAATGCAACGATCCATTTATAAAGTGCTAAACGCATTGAGAAAAACAGTCGAAATATTCGCAAGCAAATATTATGATGTCTTCTTCAATATTTATTGGTTATAAAAAAATTTGGCTGTGCAAAATGACAAAATATACACTTCTATGAAACATATTTCATTAACTGTACAAAAATAAAATAGGTGATTTATTTGCTAGAAGTAAAATGTTATCTCGTACTGAAATAAGAATTTATTTCAGTGAAAAAAACATGTTTCATAAATAAATTTTTAAGTATTTATTTGTCACTGCATACATAATATTTTAGAATAAAAATGCCAGACTTTCTATTTCACGATACCGGTTCATTTCAGACTAACAAAACCTTTAATATAACTTTTACTATGATACTCTCCTCGTGTATCAACCCGTTAAAAAGCGAGGAGAAGAAAACGAATTGAATCGCTTCGCTCCTGAGATACGTTCGACGTGTTCGTTCTTGAAAGCGCGGTTTATATCTATCCTTTAAAAATGGATTCAGCGCATGTTCGGCGAACGCGCGGACTGCGATAAAAATCCTGCGGTGTATAATGCGTAGGATTTTTCGTGCTCTCTGTAAGCATCTTTATTTAACAGGTTGGGGGCGATGATACGCTCAGAGTCCACCGGTATAATATTTAACGACGAGATGGACGACTTCAGCTCACCCAACATCACCAACGGCTTCGGGCTACCGCCGTCACCGGCGAATTTTATTCGGCCTGGTAAACGGCCGTTGAGTTCGATGTGTCCTTCTATAGTGGTAAGCCATTTCACCGCGAACGTGACCGTCGACAAATTCGTTCGGGAGCTCGAAACTCGGTGAATAACATACAACAAAACAAGTCGCGCGTTCGGTGCGCGTCTCGTGAACGCTTGGAAAACGCGTCTAATGAAACGGCTACAACGAGTTTGCAATTAACTATCGCTAGATAACCATCGATTCCGAGAATCGCTCAGCTCAATGATGTAATTGCAATTCGCAATCGTCACGCGATCGTCCGAAGCGATTCTCCGCGCTGCGTGAGACCTCGCCACAATGTTATTTCTCATGCAATTCGATATATCTGTGTAAAAATCTTTTAAAATGCTTTTTCAAAATAATTTTGAAGGGACTGAGTGAGATGTACCAGTCTTGGACGACTAATTCAAATTTATTTAAATATATAATCATGTGAACTCTTTTAAGTCTATCACAATGTTTGTTATGTAATTCGAGGTGCCTGTATAAAAATCTGAATTTTTACACGCTTTTGCAAAATAATCTTAAAGGGACTGAAATGTACGAGACCAGTCTTGGACGGCTAATTCAAATTCATTTGATTCAATCACGCGATCCCTTTTAGGTAGATAACAAGGGCGATGTGAGATTAGTGATTGGTGCAGCCGGTGGCACGAAAATCACGAGTGGCGTGGCGATTGGGATACTCTTGAATCTCTGGTATGATTACGATATAAAGGAAACGATTGATACGCGCAGGCTTCATCATCAAGTGAGTATAAACGATATGAATATTTGAATTTGAGGAAGTAATTCTATAATTGAAAACCAAATTCTCATTGTACCATTACAATTTCAATCCGACTTCTAATTCGTAATGGCAATTTAAGAGATTATTATTAAATCTATCTTTCAAATATTATTATTTACTAAAATTCCAAGAAATTACTAAATTTCACATTTCACATATTAAAATAATTTAAAACAGAAAATAGGAAAGATTTTAAAACAACATATTAATAAAGAATGGTTTTAGAGAAATTGTTATTGATATATATTCTTAAAATTATGATTTAATTAATTAAAGATAAAGGATAAATTAAAAATTTAAATAATTTCTTAATTCGCATTTACTAAAAATTTTTCTTGTATAATCAATTATAATTTACACAAATTTTTATACGTCGATTTTATATACTTCGATATATTTTTCACTGGAAAAATTATTTCTTAGTTTTTATTATATAAGAAATATTATTACAATAAGACAGATGAATAAGCTTCATTTATCAAACGTTAAATTTAAACCATTAAACGCGGAATACATTGTTGAGTTATTATATTTATTAATGATCTTTAAGGAAACTATTAAACAATTGCAGCTGCTGCCGATGAATATCCAGAATGAGAAAGATTTTTGTCCAGTCACGTTAGATTATTTGAAAAAAATAGGACACAACATCATCACTTTTAGCGGAATTGGTAGCGCGATTACGGCTATATCCAAGGAAAATGGATTCATAACAGCAAACTCGGATTATCGTCGACAAGGAACTACAGCAGGACTATAAAAATTATTGTATAGAATCAACGCGGATAACTTTGTAACACAAGATGGAACATTGATTCCATTTTTATGCTACCGCAGTTTTTCTTAAACTGCAGTAACGATTGCAATTAGACATACGATTCCTGACAAATGCTCTCTACACAGCGTGCAATTTTTGTCTTATCACATCCTATTTAAAAAAGAATCCAAGAACAAAGTACTTTACAAATTACGAAGTTATCCGCAGGCGAATTGTATGTGATTAGATAATTGTTATGTAAATAAAATTCTTATTTTCAATGTTATGATTTTAAGAGATAATTTATGTATTTCGAATCAAAATCATTAGCATATGTGTCAACTTAAATACGTGTCGATTAAAAATATAAATGTTTGAAATCAATATGATTCCTACTTGGCTGTAAATACTTAAAAATTATAATTGTATAAGTAATATTTATTATACTTCATCAATTATCGCATCTCTGTACATATTTCATAATGTTTCACACCTGATTCAAATATATGAAAACGAAAATGTCTCCACTTTATGTTTGGTATAAATTAAATTTATTTTTAAATGTAAACTATGTTTCTCTATTTAAACGAAAGATAACATACCCATAATTGATAACATAGGATTCTATTCTTGATAATGCAGGTGACATGATAATTCTGCTGTTTATGTAATGTGAAAATCATACAACTTATAATATAAAATAACGTTCCAATAAAACATTTTATTAAAATAAAAAATAAATCAATTATGGTGCATAAATAAATAATGAATTTTTCTTCTGAAATTAAGACCACATTAAGACACATTACAAAACTGAAGACAGTTAATATAATAAAATTATACGAATGCAAGATAATAAAATTATTTTCTCCCATATCGTTGAAAGAGATGACGTAAAAACATTTATTTTTTAATAGTTGCTAATTATCTAATAAATTATCTAATAAATTTTTCTTACATCAGTTAATATAATTTACGTAACTTTAAATTCATTTCATGTTATTAATAATTAAAATTACACATAATTGCTCTTAAAAAATTACCACGTGGGAAGTTGTTAATACTGTCATCATTATCAAATTATTACTCCTTCAAGCTATGTTTTTCAATAATCTGCATTTCCATAATCATGCTCTGATGTACATGTGCATGGTATTTGTCATTCTTGAAATTTTGCAATGACAAGATTATAATTATTTTAATCAAAACAAGTTTTGTATAATATAATAAACAAAATTTCGTTTGTATATAAAATTCAGTACTAATTTTCAAATTACCAAACTAACAAGTCGATATTTATAGTCATTAATTGCGCAACAGAATTATGTATTTCCTAACAAAGTATTTACGAAGTTCATGATTTTCAAAAATCAATAAATAATTCAGTGAAATAAACAAATAAAATTATGCAAGTGAGATATATTTTTATTTGTCGGAATAAACAATTTTAACATTTTCGGATAAAATTCTGATTATCATCTAGATAAGTTTAATTGAAAATTCAATTTAATATTAATTTAAAATGATTTTTTTAGCGAAGAAAAATAAGAAATTATGGTATTTCTCCAAATAAAATTAATTTCCAAAAAAACTTGTGTGCAATCTACAATTCAAATCAAAAGAGTCAACAGGAACTCTTTCTTCAAGTCAAGGTTACTACCGCTATAATAATTAGTATTCTCTTTAGATTTCTACTTCAACCAATGCACTCGCTGTACGTCTAGAATTTAAAATTCGTAATTCCTTCCGTTAGTACACGACCTTCATTGTATACATTCCGTATTAATACGGGAATGTATTTCTTCCGTATTTACATCGGAACTAATTTTAAACAAGCCGAGTTTTTTATTGCGAGACAATTATTTTACTGCAATTGTCTTTTTACAATTAAAATGATTTGTCCTATATATAGATAGAATCTGTCCTTTGAGCTGAATCCATCTATTTTAAATCTATTCAACCTTCTGGTACAGTCTACTTTCAAAATAAAGCAAATCACAGTTAAAGATTAATAGAAAGTAAAAACTGTACATTTAATAGAATTTTGATCAACTATAAAAGAGACAAAAATATTTATCGTCACGCAGGAACAATTTTAGAAAAGTTTCATAACTGTCCTGACTCACTCTGATCAGTCTGTCAGCTTGACAAGATAATTCGCAGTAACACCGCACATCGACCAACGTTGTATTTCCATTTCGCAGAACATATATACGTATGATACAAAATAACATTACGGATCATTTTATTGGTCTGTCTAACGTATAAAAGAGCCGTTTTACTGTTACAAAAGCTTTTCATTAGTCACCAAACCGCAACTGTGAGATCAGATTTGCATATTCAATATTATTATTTTTGTGGAGCAAAATCTTTCACAAGAATAGGTACATTATAAATTCAGATACACTATAAATAGATACATTATAAAGTCCATGCATCTCTAATATAATGAAATTACGAGCATAAATTAAGCAATTCGACAGAGTCTTAATCTGAAAATTCTGATTGTGATTATTGTCTTTACATCACAAATATCACTTACATACACTGCAGAAAAACAAAAAGAGAAGCGGCCGTTGTTGTTATTGTCGTCCGATTATCAAACGAAGCGTATACGAGCGAGATCGTGTGATTTTATGTCGGACTCTCCCGTTTCAGCCATGCCTAGTTTCAACGAGATACACTGTTCGATATGATATCAACGTGGCAGTAATTTCAAGAGTATACGGTTTACGGGAGTTAATCGAGATCTCCGTTTACCATTGAAAATAAGGAGACTCAGCTGCAGAGAAAGAGAGGGATGGTGGACAAAGATTCTTAATTTCCGGTGCTTTGTTCTTGTGACCATGGTGGTCCGTTTCATTTCCGTTTCGTTATGCCGAGGTAAACGAAGTCAGAAAAAAGGAGGTATCAAACATTATAAAGAGCGGTCGCTGCGAGTTATGATTAAAATGCGGAACGTTTGCGCGCATATCTATGATTGTCGAGTATTTATCGCATGCATTCAATCGCAAAAATCAACAATTAGTTCTAATGGAATAATAATCTTCAAATCTAGAGTATTAATCATAATAAGTAAAAGTGATGTGTGAAACTGCTGCTTTGATTTCTTAAATAAAAACGTCGTAAAAATAATTGAAAATTTTTAAAAATAAATATGCATAAATACGTATCGCGCGCGCGCGTTATGTTTATAGTGCAATCTATAATAATAGCGAATTCGATTGGACGCACTCAATGCGCACTGGTGCACATTAAAGCCGTCGTACACGAAATAATGTAAAGATATGTTTATAAATAAACATAGAAATCGATTAAATCGTGAAGTACTCAATACATTTTATTATACTATTAGGTAAAATATGTATTTCATAATTCTAAATATCTGCATTTCATTTTTATACTCAAATTAAATCAGTGTACAACGGCTTTAATATGCACCAGTGCGCACTAGTGCTTCCAATCGAATTCGCCATAATTTTAATAACTTGATGTTAAAAGATATTTGATAAAACAAGAATAAGGAGAATGAATTGTGTGTGTACGTGCACGTGTAAAACAAAAAAATTTCTTATATAAATATTAATCAACCATCGAGGTGTTTTTTGTTAAACTTTTTTTGTGTCACGTAGATGTATCATACACTTGAAACAAAAAACGAAATTTATTGGAAATGCCGCACTCATTGTTGATTCTAACATATTCTTTCAAGAATAATTCAAATATTTTCTGTTGCATTTAATGTTTTCGCTATTAAATATAGTCTTTTTATAAATCATTCTATATTTTTAATATCAAAACATGATGTATCACACTATCTATCATCGATACATGTAGCGTAGTAATCTGACTTACAAATAATTGCAACACGTGCCTATTTCTAACTTTAAACTTAATTTTTTATAAGCTCTCGTTATGTATTTTAATTAACATCATCCTTGCTTCAAAGATTATAAGAAACGATTTTACAAGCAAAATAGACGTTTGCATACCTACCTGTTTTCCAAACTGGTTTAAGATAAAATGTTTTTTTAACTATTTATGTGAACATTAATAACAAATATAATTAATTTGTTAAATTTTCATATAATTTATTCGTATCAGAACTAAAAATTATAATTATATAAGTGGTAGTTACAGCTCTCGTTACAAGTCAATAGTTATCTCTCAAAAGTCACCAAATGAACATCTGTATCAAATATCACATTGATTAAACAAAATTATTATCTATAAATATTATATATACATAAAAAACGTAATTTTTTAATGTTAAGTAGTAGATTCGTACAAATCCGTTATTGTCACATAAATGCAAATAGTAAAAAATAATATACGTAGAAATACATTATATTAATAATTCTCAGTTAGAATTTTCCTTTTACTTTGAAGTCTGATCGATTACTTTCAATGTGATATATTGTGTATATAGAACAGGTTTAATTATCATACAGTTGTAATAAATGTTAAAATAAAATTAAATAAGAAATAAATAATAATGTAAATAAGTAACAAAATATTAGCGAACTTAAACAAAATTAATATATTATTATTTAATAATAACATTAATATTATTTACTAAATAATAATAATATATAATTAATATGTAGAGAAGGATATGTTACCTTAAGATGCGTTACTTTTGCTAATAGAATTTTAAAACCGTCTATTACTAGTTTTAATAAATTCCTTATTAATAATAAACTGACTTACTCACAATTAATCTATTTACCGTAGGATTTACGTGAGATTGTGCTATTTGAATTGTGTCTATATCTTTTTATCAATTCTTTTTATTTATTATCAAGCCGTATAACTACAAATTTACAAGAACTTTCGCAAAGAGGTCTTGAAAATATACACTTCTTGAAAATTAATATGCAAATCTTGATACTTTATTTTCTTATCCCTTTCCATGAAGATACCTGATGAACTCACATGACATCAGATGTACGATGATACGATGTTCAATAAGATAACTCGATTCTAGTTAACATTTTTGTCTCCAGGAAACAAATTCTACTGGATATCGAACGTCGTATGTTGGATGTCATGTGCTGTATGAATCTATACATAAGCAGGAGTTTTACATATGGCGCAACGGTATAGGTAGTGTAGGCACTTGTAGCCGCGTTCGAATTACAGTCATCAGTCGAGAGCCGGAGTTGGGTCTGATCAGATCCACAGCACTCTGACGAGGTTTCTTGAACGGAAAAGTAGAAACACTTTCACCGAGATGCTGAGGGAAACGATTCTCGTTTTCGCGGCGATCATTGTGTTTGCCAGTGCCACGGTAGTTAATCGCTGCGAACCTGGTAAGTTAATTATTAAATATAAATGTATAAATATTATTAAAAAAATACATTAATTTATTATAAAAGAGTTTTTAGTTTTTAATAAATCACATTTAAAATGCGAACTGTTCCTGCAACATAATAATTAATTGCTTCTCCTATAATTTTGTAAGTTGACTTATTTATTCACGTAGCACCGTTACGTAAATATATAGACGAGTTGACAAACGAAAATTTGCTGGATTATAACCAAATGATTAATAATAATGTTGTCATTTTAAACATGCGCAAGAGAGAATTTTCAGATAAAGCGTTATATAAAAGGTTTAATCAGAAATAATTATCAAATTTGCTTTTAACGTATTGAGAGCTATGGTCGTTTTTTGATGTCACTGGAAAAGTTACAGATCTAAGATACTTATTTTAAAATTAAAACTGCTTCTCTTTACGTGAGAGGATTTGTTAATATCATTAAGTATCTTCATGAAACTTTCTTGACGTTGCATTGCGTCAAAATTTTATTATACAGAATATTCTAAAAATTTGATCAAAGTTTATCGATTTATTTTTCTATTCGTATTCTTAAAAATATTATAACTCTATGAGTATGTGAACATTTTTTTTCCAAGTTTTCAAGAAGAACAATTAATTCTTTATTTTTAAAACTTCATCGAAAATTATATATGGTTTGTCTTTAGGATCATTAATATGTTTGATGAAAATTTTTACGAAGATAAAAGTAGAAAAAAAATAAAAGAATCTGGTCATAATTTCGTTGTCAAGTCAAACCAAAATATATCTAAAGATAGTATATCTTGTCAACAGACACATACCATGTACATTATACATGCATTCCAAGCTAAATTACACATCTTGTTTTTATTTGATATTTAAATGTATTTTTAGATTTCACTACTGATTCATGTCTGAGTAATAAAAGTATTTATACAATACCTTTATTTAGTTAAATGTAGAAACGTTTTTCCAATGTTTAACTCTCAATTAATTTGTAACTTGTGATGAAATAAAGTTTATATATGCTTGCATAATTTTTCCATACGATATATTGGTAAAATTTTATACTTCACATATTTTAGAATATTCTGATGTAAATGAGGGACTATGCGATATATTTTCGATATTGAAAATTCTTCTTGTGACATTGTATACTTTATAATATTGGCCATATTAATTTCGTCTTGTTATTTTTTCAAGGATCGTACAAGTATTTTTCAACAGGAATGTATTATCCGTAATCATATTGCAAATTGCTGAAGTAGAACTTTGTCTTTAAAGAGTCAGGCAGATTATTTTTCAAATTATCACACGAGTGAAACATTGAATGATTATATCGAAGTTTGTTTCTCATGCTAGTGGCAGAAACTATAATTAGTATTCTCATACTTTTATCGTCAAATAATAATGCTGCGCTTAATGACTCTCAATTATTAGAGATATGTGAACGAAGCACCGAGTATAATTTTATTATTAATACCTATATAATTGCTTACAAGAAATATAATTGACACATGGTGAAAGTGATCAGCGAAATACTAACTTATATACGTTAATTTATCGATCGGTTTGTTTCACTGTTAGAATTTTAATGCTAATTTAGAAATTTTGCATCGATTAAAGTAGAAAATAAATATCGTGATTCGTACAAGTACATAAACAAAGTCTTCTCTTTGTATATTCGAAATACACCGAACAAAATCAACAGAAAAGAATATACGGATCGACCGTTATATAAATTGTAGTTAAAACCAATTAAAAACTATAGTTTCTTTAAAAAGCTAGAATAAAGATATTATGCTACTTATACTAAATGCGACTATTATACATACTGATAACACGTTTATTTCACGCATTTTCAACGCGAACGTACATTTTGCACTAGATTATATTTAGAATATATAGACTATATGTAGAATATATTTCTATTGAATCATGTTTTTAGTTGATATGTTTCTTTTTGTTCGATTTATTGTGTACCTAATCCTCTACCAGTGTTCATATTATATATCATTGACCATGTTCAAAACTTGATCTTTTTGTTGACAATACTGTAATGCCACTTTTTTAAAAATGCTCGGGTCAAAAAAGACAGACGAACATGAGTAGAAGATTAAATGGATTGTTCGCAATAATGTAAATAAGTGTATATGATTTAAAAAATTGCATTCACAAAAGGATTATTTTTATTTTATCATTTTTATAAAGAATGCATAAGAAAAATTAAAATCACAGTCATGTTTGCGTGAGTAAATTTACATTCATCTTATTGTCTAGGATTTCTTGCTGACCGGCTATCTAGCCATTTTAGCAATAACCTTCAGGATCATTACGGATCAATCATAATCATGAAAAGCAAACGTGTCATCATTTTTCTATCTGAATAAACTTATATATTTTTTTTTTACGACTTTGAGGAAAACTTATTATCAATGTCGATTTATTGATTGATGCAAATTTCTGTTTTTTATGAGATGACAATAATTTAGCACTCTAATAAAAATTATTATTACTACCAATGTTTGACAAATTTAAAAAAATTCTTAATAATTAATCGGTTATTACCTATTAGCGCGAATAAACATTGTACAATAATTATACGATACGTTCGTCTTTATATATTCTACTACTTTCTCTTTCTTTACATTCTCAGACATTGTAATGGGAATCTCGCTGAAGATGAAATATTTCAAGGCAATCAACTTTATAAATATCGCACAAATTTTTCTCACAAACTCGTTCATCCTTTATTTTTGTTACTCTAAAGTATATATATATATATATTTATTTATTTTTATTTATTTATTTATTTGTGCATCGATAAAAGTTACAAAAAATGCATATTCTTCGAACAAAGAGCGTGCAAAATATTACTTTAATGTCAAATTAAATTGCCTTTTATATGAATAAAATAATTACGTGATTTGATTAATGTGTTTATGGTTTACGTAATCAAATAATTCGAAATCGAGCTGTGTGAAGACACAAAATTATACTCACATTGTTCAAATTATGATTTACGATGACGATTACAAATTATGATTTTAGGCTCCCCCCCGTTCGAAGATGCCAATCAGATCAATATATCCGACTGCGATAAACCTGTATGTTCATTAAAACAGGGATCGACTGTCACTATAGAAATGAAACTCGTGCCTAACAGAGAAATTCATAGTTTGATCACTAACGTGAACGGGATTATTTCTGGCGTACCCTTACCGTTCATAGGAGTTGATGGAGCAAATGCCTGCGACAATATTTACAACGCTGATGGTAGCAAAGCTGGTTGTCCCTTGAAGAAAGACGAACAATACGTATACAGAAACAGTTTTCCTATTCTGTCAATATATCCCAGGGTAATTTTAAAAATTTAAAAGAGGACTCATAATTGCGCATATTTATTAATAATTAAATATATGTGTATAATAAACACATGTGATATACAACGTTAATTTGAGATTAAATTGGAATTTAATCAATTATAAAAAAAACCAACATCACATTAGACAACTTTGTTGTAATTACAATTGGTCAAATTACAATCCAATCTCAATCTCTACTCTGATATCGCTTTAAGAATAACTTAACAATGATATATCTCTTCCTTTTAATTATACGCAATTTGTTTCTTTCGTAACTTGATTTCAACCTGTTGCCACAAATGTTTATTATAACTTTGCTTACAGATTCCAGTAACCGTACATTACGCATTGAAAGAAGGAAATGATAGAGTTATATGCTTTGAAATACCATCGAAAATTACGAAATAAAGTGCTTCGTTTTGTTGATTTCGGTATATTACAATTAAAAGTCGTAGTGAGCATAGTCAATGTAACTCTGAGCTTATATAATTTAATTGGCTGATATTATGTACCACTGTATGCAAATAATCCTTCCTATACAGAATATTGTGATGTACAAATACATTTTTTAAATAAAATAATTTTCTATTTTTAACCAAAATATTGTTTCACTTATTTTATCTATTTTCTCACATTAAATTTTAATAATATTTTTGTTAGAGATAAAATTACTAGAAATAAAATTGCCTGAATTGACGCAGACACTTTTATAGACAAATTATCAATGAGAACATTTATTAAACTAATTTTTAGCAGCATTAAATTTTTAAATACCTTTATAATTGATAATTGTTAAATATTCGAAGTGCCCTTATGAACGAGCGACTAATCATGTAGATTATACAATATGAGTAATTTTCACTAATGATTAAATAATAATAAGTATTATAATTATAAGTATTTTGTAAATACTTTTATGGTAAGCAACAAAAGTAATGGATATTTTAGTTGAAAATAATTAAAGAACTTTGATTTGGCCGATCATTGATAATATCGTAATAACGAGCATGCTTTACATAAGCATAAGAGTATAATAGTTAATCCAAATTTATCATACAATTCAAATTTTGATTTTGGCAATCCACTTCTATATGCTCGCAATCGTTTGAAGTCTTTTTGTATACCTATTTCATGTTTTCTTTTCTACGTCCAAAGTGCAATCTATTCTATTACTATCATCGTCAGGTATGTAAATGTCATTGTTCTACATTAAATTGCGATGGTTTTTTTACGTTATTATTAAAAATATTATTTTCGAGTCGTAGTTTGTAATATACTCTTTTAATTAAGCAGTTTATGTATGATTAATTTGCTCATCAACATGTAAAAAATAAATCATTATATTTTTTGTTAGCTATAATTATCCTCAATTTGAATTTGGTACAGCCTTGAATGTAGTTATGTCTTGTATTTTTCACAACATTTCTTACAATGTGCGTCTATTACGTAATTGTTTATGCACGATTATTGTAAGTAGTTAGTATAGTTTATCATATGCACATTGAATTTGTATAATGCACGATGTATGTTATGTATAACGTACGATATGTACATTCAATTCGTATACCGTACGGTTAAACTTGAGTTGATGCATGCCCATTATTGCGATTTTACCGTTGGTCGATCGAAAAGTATTCACAGGCGTATAATCAAGCCCCATAGGTAGCAGTCGAGGCGAGAAAATTTACACATATGAATATTAAAAAATGTCGAAAAATGAAAAAAAGGCAACTTGCAAATGAAGCATATAACTCGACAGAGAGTGATTCCCTGGAATATGTGTATATACAGCCTTTGTGAAAATCTCACTGAAATGACAAAGAAAAAATTCGACGAGTCTTCTCTGTAAAGCGGCCAAGTTTACAAGAATAAATGAGATTTATGAGATACTGCAAAGAAATTAATGAGCAAGCTTCAAAAGGAAATAATACGCGATTGGAACTGCATATACTTTGTAAATGAACATGCAGATTTATGTGTATATGTATATTTTTTTTTTCTCATTTTTATGAAGGAGGAAAATAAAGATTATGCAATTTTTCTTTAGCAATAATAATAAAAAGATAAAAATGTATCAAGAGCTAATTACTATCTATCACGTAGTCACCTTGTCTTTAGTGTTTATTGCTCGTAACATAGTTCTTTTTATATATTCTCGACAGTAAATTTATAATCTACGTTTAACGTTCGATGATTCGCAGCTCCGTGCCGATGCTAGACTGTTGCATTTCGATTGGTGGGAATGTCGAGCAATAATTACAGGTACGTACAAAGTGAGTCTCTTTAATTATGATAGATTATTTGCAAGAACTGCGAGATTAATTTGTTTATCACATTTCAACGTATTGTTAATTTCACTACGCAATTGCTTTAATTTAAACAACGTCGATATTAAGAAATAATAATATTATTTTTTAATAATATTAAGCGAAAGTTTGAATTTTATACGTATAAGAGTTTGAACTTTATACGTCGAAAGAAAGATTTTGTTAAAATACCTAAAAATTTTGATAGATCTGAAAATAATTTTATTGGACCATCAAAATAATTATGTAGAAAAGTATGATAAGCAATGCCGTAAAAAATTTTGATATTCTAACAACCAGCTTGAGCATTCTATATAATTATTTTGATGGTTCAACAAAATTATGTTCAGAACTACATAATTACATATATCTAACTAAAGTTTTAGATACTTGAAGTATGGTGAGCAATGTTGCAAAAAGTTGTGATATTCTAGCAACCAGCTTGAGCATTCTACATAATTATTTTGATAGTCCAACAGAATAAGTTTCAGATCTGTATCTAGTTAAATTTTTAGATACTTTAACAAAACTGTTCATTCGGCCGTATATATAATTATTGACGGATATAATAACAATGATTAACGATCAATCAAATTTATTTTGGTACTCGTTTTAAGATTTTTAAAGAGTGAATGTGTAACGTAAAAATAATAGATATTTTTAAAAAGCGATGATTTGATAGGCAATGCGGGCCAATTGGCATTCAGCCATTTCTCTTTCACATTTTACTTTCAACTTTTTATGATTATTATGATTCAGTAAAAAAATTAATAAAATGAACGTAAAAAGGAGCAGTTTCCTGACTCGAACAATAAAAAAATATATATAATTCAATTGTTTCGTAGGCAACTGCTGAATGTAAATATACTTACAATATCGAGCTATACTTCTTGTGACAATTATTTGTACATGGAAGGAACGATTTTGGTAAAGTATTTAAAAATTTAATTAGATGCATGTCTCCATACAGCGAAAATGTTCGAAATACATCAGAGAGATTAGAGATATCCTAAAAATATTCATATCCCAAATATATTCTTAAGATATTTCTATGATGTATTTTGGACACATCTGCTATGTGAGTCTTGAAATAATTTTGCTGGATGACTAAAATAATTATGTAAGAGACTGAAGAATGACAATACTGCAAAAAGTTTTAATATTTAAACAATTAGTTTGAGCATTCTACGTAATTATTTCAATAGTCCAACGTAACTATTTTTTCAGATCTCTAGCTAAATTTATGAATACTTCAGTAAAATTGTTTTTTCTGTGTAATCTTTATTATCGTTCCAAGAAAATCATCTGCGTCAAGTGCTGAGTAAAGTTCATCATATATCGCCTCGATATTCTTAAGATGTCTGCAAGTACGTTCACGTAACCGTCGATTTGGGATTTCTGTCGATAAGTCATCATTACATTAAAAAAGTCATTAAAATTCAAATTTATTCACTTCTTGATCGCAGTACTATGTTGCGTTGTTCTGGAACTATTTAATTTTTGAGTCGCTTTTGATCCTGCGTCCGCCGTGCGTGCGAGTATCACGATGTCCTCTGTCCGAGGATTAAGGTAATGACATCAAAAAACCAATAGCTTACGAGATATTTTATACCTTATTGTGGCATATATTGATATAAAATGTTAAATAACTCATAATTTTATGAGCGGAATAATGAGATGAATCAATTGGTGGAAAGAAAATACACAGTTGGTTTGAAAAAATATGTATGCAAAATGGATAATTTTTTAAATAAGCAATTGTGTGTTTTCTTTCCATCACTTGATTCATCTCATTATTCTGTTCATAAAAATATTAAGATGCGATTATCAAAAAATTAATAGTTTACGAGTTATTTAATATTTTATATCAATATATGCCACAATAAGGTATAAAATGTCTCGTAAACTATTGGTTTTTTTATATCACTTGATTAATACTTTTATATTTCAGAATAATTACACTGTGTAAAAAAAATCATACAATTTCATTTAAAAAAGTGGAGGTGACCTTGAAATCTCTCAAAAAATATGACCTTGAGAAAAATTTTTTGCTCTTCATAATATGTGCCCCTTCGAATCGAACCACTTTTTCCTTTGGTATTTTCTCGTATCATTAAAAACAACGGAGATATTTTAGATGACCAAGTTAGTGGAAACACCCTGTATATTAGAAGAAAATTAAATAGTTTTACAAAAAATTCATCAGCAAAGCGATGTTTGATGGTAATTACGTATATGTACCTCGAAACGTTTTCATTGCTCAATCGTTGGTGGAGTGACGATAGATTTGTATCGTCGAAGCGTTAATTATATATCGCACGTGTATAATTGCACTTCGTATACACCGAGTAAAATATTAAATTGATTGGCGACAATTAAATGACCTATATTAAACAATATTACATATTAATAAATAATTAATCTTCCATTAATATGTGACGATATTTCAACGTGTAGCGCGATTATTTCTGTTCGCATAGTATATAATGTTTCAGATTTTTGGTAAACTAGCTTTCATCAACTTATCAGCTATTTGATTCAAGATTCTTCAAATCGCGTTAACAAGATTTCTAATTTTTTTTTTATTAAAGAATATACGTAAAATGAGTTTCAATCATAGTCTATTTTATATCAAATATGTATCTAATATGCATATCTATAAATTATTAAGTTAACACAACCACTGCAGCATGATTGAATAAAACATAAATTTAGTCATTTTTGTTGCTCGCGTGTTGCCTTATTCATGATTTTATTGCTTTAGTCAGTTTGATAAAAATATGTATGGTAACTTAAGCTTATAGTTAGCATATATTAGTCATAGAAAACATCAAAACTTAAAAACAAAACATATATAAATTGAAAGATGATAATTTGCTAAATCTGAAGTGTATAATATCTTTTGTGTTAGTTTGCTGATAATTAGTTTTGTTACTTCACTTCCACAAGTTGGTTGCATCATTTTTAATTCAGAAAGATCATCCAGTTACGCTAATATAAGCATGATTGTTATCTCTCCGATGTTTACAGTGTTTGCACGGATACTCTGGCAGCCTGGCTTTCGATTATGGCTATCGGGCACGTAGAAACATTCCCAGCTCACAATTTTGATGATCTTTTTTTAAACGCGCACATCAATTTTCTTCCAGTTTTTAGAAAAATGTTTTCGACAGGAAGGTCAAATCTGATAACTTTGTTCCTTTTTTACAGAGAGCATTACGAGAAGGTTTCAGTTTTGGCAGTAGTTAT